CTGGTGAAACCGACCTTCGAATCTCTTCACCCAACACTTCTACTCGAAATGGAAGTAATCCCAACAATGTTAAGGCCAGTTGATTTTAACCTTCTGCTTCTCCCTCTATAAACGTAATTTCACTTATCGTAATCTTATTGTGCACTGGAGAATATTTTTGTGCTTTAAAGATATTCTTCTTTTATTAGAATCACATCATTATTGATCAAAGTTGTTTATTTTATTTTTGTATTATTCTCACCTCTAGAAAGACCATTGCCAATATCCTTTTTATTAATATCGCTCAGGTATGCATAGTCATGCCTGATCAAGAAAAATGCCTTTTTCTTTTGTGTGCCACGCTATTTACCACGAATATACTGAAACCAAATTGACTCCTTTATGATATATTTAATAATGTTCTTCATTTCTATACTAGATCTCATGCACCTGTACGGCCACTTGCCACTAAAAATAACTCGTGTGAGGTCTTTTAGTCTTTCTTTGCCTCGTGATAGAATGACATTGAATGGAGTCGATTTTTCATAATGGTTCTTGTATCATACTACATATCATTTGCAGCCAACTTCGCATTTGTGTAAAGTTATGCCCTTAATGCAGAAAATTAATTTTACTTTTGTCAAATAATTTATTCTTAATAATCTGTGCTTGCTTTAACTTACACCTTAATACAACTAATTTGGCATCCAGATAATGTAGGCTTCGCAACCTCATCGCCTAAGGTAGATGCAAATCTCATTTAAGCAATTTTCTGTTCATACTTGTCAGTGATAAATAAATAAAAATGCCATCTTCACATATTTTTCGTAAAAAATTAGCTTTTTGAGACTTCCAGTAAGTCAGTTATATGAGATGTATTCGTTCTATTTTGTTTAAGATGACTGGTAGTTGAATCTTCCCACACTGCTAGGAGTAGAAACGACGTTTCCATTGAATTTCACTTAGCCTTGCTTTCCCAAAAGGTGTTCTCATTCAGGCAAGAGTGGACTCCAGTTACGACCTCGCCTAGGTCTTATCAACACTCCCAGTGGTAGTCAAACCATGACACTGCCGTGTCTAATCCTGACACCTTAATCACTACGCCACATTGCCACGAATGCCTTTGGGTTACAGCGCAGATGTTAATTTCAAGGAAGGCCATGCATTTTCTCATATCATATTGCTTGGTGGGATTGTCCATTTTTGTTTCATCAGACTTGTTCCACCTTACCATTTAGTTGAACAATCTTATATTTCAAAAAGCGCCACTCTTTTGGGCCTAGGTTTAGCCATGTCACCACATACATTCTTATATATTTATACACTTATAATTTCCAAACTTTTTTCTCACCGTTTTCTCACTTCCATTATTAAATGGTGATAGACCATTGATTAAGTTCAGACCCATTTAATCTTTACTTTGAAGTCGTCTGAGGGGTTCTATCCTGGAATATCCCCTATTATAATGTCATTGCTTTGTGCATCATTTGTCACTCGTACCTCGATTCCAATACCAGATTTTGCTTTCTTATAGCAAATTCTCTACCATGTGGTAATCTTTTAATGATTTTTGGAGAATTTCGCTGCTTATCTACGTATTTTAAGATCAAAGCCTTACACTAATTCTCTAGTTAACATGTAAAGGGTCGGTTATTTGTCAGCGTCATTTTAATGTATTCACTAAGGCCGTATTTTCAGCGAACGATTGTTTAACGTATCTTTTAATAACTAACTCATGCACCCTTGTTATTCTTTCTCCATACATGCTTCTTACTCTTTTGTTGTTTTAGATTCGCGCTGTACATCAGCTCAAGTACGTTGAGGATTCTGATTTAGATGAAATGCGCATGAGCCGACCAGAGAAACGGCGTCTTCGCAAATATTTTGAACGAGAATGTCCACAGACTGCCATGGGCAAGTTGAAAAAGGTAGGCCCTTTATACATTGCTTCAAATAGTCACAATTTTGGGATAAAATTTACAATCAAGCTCGATTAAAAAATTAAGATATAATTTTTATTCATCGTATGAAGCTCAGTCCTTGAATCATTTTTTCTAAGGCAGACATACTAACTTTTATGATCTAGCTTTTGTTATTTTTGTTGTACCTTTTTACAATAGACACCTAAATTAATCTAATAAAATTACTTATGAGGATCGCTTCTAAATAAGCATAAAATAACATCACACCTCAATTCACCGGCTGTCCTACTTGATTTGCAAAAACTCCCTGTCTTTTGTATCTTACCAATAGAAACCGAAATTTAAACTTAACCTGCTACGAATGAAATTAATAGTTATACTTGTGGAGAAATTATGTGAAATTGAATCTTAAATGGAGCAGTCTGTTATTTAACCTAGGATCACATACCCAGTAAGTAGTTTTCGAAACTATCAATAGAGCTTTTATTAAAAATGAGATCCCTCAAGTTTACGCATATCTGATAGTTACGTTTTCTACAATAAAATGAGTAGGTCTCACGATGTCATTAATTTCTGTCGAGCCTTGCCTTGGATCACAACTTAAACTTTATTCGGCTTTGATAAGCGTACAAAATTGAATTTGAAACCTTGTCAGGCACGTAAAATAGCCATACTATTATTATAGTACAGTTCTTGGTTCATCAAAGGTCGCATTTACCCTGCAATCCCGATAAATCCCTTCTTAGCTTTCGTCCCTCGGGTGACGGACATCGTCAGAGCCGGAGACCACATTTTAAACTAATTAACCAAAACATGAGGGCAAGGAAGGTGGCCGACTGCAGATATTTATTGTATTCTTATTTGGGTTAATTATTGTACAACCTAGTCTCCTGCTCTGACCATACTCGTCCCACCACGGACGAAGGCTAAGTCTCTACAAATATTTATCGAATTGCCTTATCATTTATTTGTTCTCTTTTATAATTTTATATTTTATTAAAATATGAAATCAATTAAATTTTGGCTTTAATCTTTGGGTGACTATTTATAGCAATCATTAACTATTTATCTGCTCTTCAATTTTGTAATTTTATCACATTTCTAGCGCCTGGCTCGCTCTACCACTAACTGGGCCTTTAACATTCCTGGCTCCCTCTCTATACGTAGCCCTAATGGTGGCCACTTGGATGACAGCCCGTCAGGAAGCAACCTTGAATTTGACGATATGTGCTCCACTGCCAGCCTTGGGTCTGTAGAACTTTTAGACCGTTTTTGTATGGATCGACAAAGGTATAAGGAAGAAGCTTTTTCGGCCACCGGCCGTCAGAATCGCGAGCGAAATGGTGGTCAAATTTTCGCCTCTCGGCGTAGCGGAAAGGGGAGTCTAGTCTCTCGTCTCCGGGAGGCTAGTTTGCCCCCACCTTGCATCGGTACTTTTGCTACGCCTCCATCAACTTACATCTCAGTTACTACGACTTCAGGTCCTGATGCTTCTGGACTTGGATACCGTGCGATACCAGCCAGCAGAATTGAGACTACCAGCTATTTGGGCGAAGGCGAATTTGGCTCCGTATTTCAGGTGAGAGTCAAAATAAATATTTGTTGTCCCATTTTTTATATGAACTAAATATTGGAAATATAAAGGCCAAGATGTAGTGGCCTCTGGTATGGTCGCAGTCTACTTTTGATTTATAAGAGTGGGTTGACCTCGTTGTCGCAACTTGGTCTTGTTGTCAGGGCGAATTAGTAGAACGCACCTAGTCCGAAGTCGTCTGCCATAGTAGTTGTCATGATTCCAAGCATCAGACAATGGACTTGGCACATTCTCAAACGTTTCGCCGACATCGTAGTCGGCATCATCAGTGAGTTTTGTTATTCTCCGCACCAAGCTACGAACTCGTCAAAGAGACAAGTGAAGTTAATTCCTTGACAAACGTTCTGCTGATAGGACGGCAGTGTGATTAGAGCGTAAAGAGTAGATAGATAGGCCAGGACAGAAAGAGGAGTGATAGTGTAACCGTTTTCGGCAGAGCGTTTGTCGAGGGATTGACTTCACTTGTCCCTTTGACGAGTTCGTAGCTTAGTGCGGAAAATGGCAAAACTCACTGATGATGCCGGCGAAACGTTTGAGAATGTGCCAAGTCCACTGTTGATGCTGGGAATCATGACAACTACTATGGCAGGCGACTTCGGACTAGGCGCGTTCTAATAAGTCGCCCTGACAGCAAGACCAAGTTGCGACAACGAGGTCAACCTACTTCTAAATATTGGAATGTATAACTAGGTACATTCCACATGGTCTCCAGGCTACCCGACCAAGTTGCGAAAACTATGTCAAATTAACACTAAGCTAAATATTATTCTGATATTCGTTTGACCTCGTTTTGCAACTTTGTTTAGTTCCCGGGATGAATTTAAAGAGCATACCTTATCCTGCGTCCTATGTCATAGTACTCATGATAATTTCCAGCATCGGACTGTCGACTTATGGCATCTTCTCTCCCCCCATCCTAGAGTCTTATTCTCATCTATTCATAATTCAGTATGACCATTTTACTTATCTTCATCCATCTATATCTTTGCTTGTTCAAACATCTCCCTCGATTGTGTTACTTCAAGTAGATTTAGTGAAGCGTAATTGCCTTCATCATGGGTTGTAGATAGAGTATTCAATCCCATTTTCGTACATGATGCAATTGACCATACCGTGTACTGAAGCCTTTTCTGGTTTGGTTTGTAAGCTTATGCAGAGAGTCAGTTCTTTCAGCCAAAATAGACTGGGATCAAACCTATATTCACACCGTCTTGTTTTTTTATCTACTATTAAATGTTATTTTATTGCGGTCATTTTCATTTTGCTTAAGAAGTATGTGATGAGGAACTTATAATGTCGATCTAACCAAGGGCCGATATACTATTTTTTGGATTTAGCATAGAAATAGATTTAGTCATGCGTTCCAGCTCTGGTGAGGTCTGCCATATGACGGAAGAAGTCTTCTCGAGGATTGCGTCAATATGAACTTCTCAGTAAAATTAAGCAACAGCAGACCAAGAGCAGTTACTCTTCGTCTTCTTAGCCAGTCTTGCGAAACTCATCTTACACTTTCGATCTCAGCTAAAGTGGACTCAATAATGCTGTATCAAGGGTTTATCGAAAACTATCATGAATAGAGCCACATGGAATTCTGCTTCTTACACAGATTAACGAGAATTCGATTAGGCCAGCTCATTCATACTAAGTTGGTAGATTGAGTCATTTAGTGTAGTTATTCGGCTTTTATGCCCGACTATATTTTCTAATTTTCATTATAAATTCTGAATTGATTTGAAGATCGGCGAGTTAATGTTGAGCGTTTTCAAAGTATTTTGCTGTTAAGACGATTTCAAACATTTGGCTAGGGAGTTTGTAAGTGATTGTTATAGGCTCACGTAGCAAGTGCCCTTTTCTTCCAAGGCGAATGACTTTTATATCTTCACTATCCTTAAGCAGACACGTGCATGTAGTCTCTTACCTCAGGGGCCAGCCTTATTTTACTTAGCTAAGTAACTTCTCATGCCATGAAGTGGATTGACCTCGTTTTCTCAACTTGGTCGTATTGTCAGGGTGGCTTAGTTGGACGTACCTTGTCCTCTGATATAGTAGTTGTCATAATTCCCAGCGTCGAACCATGGACTTGGTACATTCCCAGACTTCGGCATCGTCACTGAGTCTTGTCATTCTCAGCACCAAGCTACAACTCGTCAAAGAAATAAGTAAAGTCAATCCCTTGACTAACTTTCTTCCGAAGGGGTTGCGTTATCACTCCTCTCTGTCCTGGCCTATCTATCTACTCCGTAACCTCTTATCACACTCCTGCCGTATCACAACTTTTGATTTGTTTATATTTATTCACAGATGTTCCCACTGAATGTGAAATAGGTAGCCCCTATTTTCAAATTGATTAGTCGTCCTAACAACTTCCTCCTGATCTTTACCGCTTCCAGGAAATCCTCTTCTCGGTCCAAGAATTTCATACCTTAATTCCCTTGCCTTATTCTCTCAGTGTGCCATAGACTTATTGGTGTACAATTCATATGCACAAGCATCTCTGGAGAAAATGCGCTAACTGTTCTGCTGGAAATCTTGGACCGAAAAGAGGATATCCTAGAAGCGAAAAGGATAGGGCGTCGTTAAGATGACTAATCAACTTGACAATAAGGACTTCATATTTCACATTCAGCGGGAGCATCTATGACCAAATATTTAAACTTCCCATGGGATCGCCGCTCTCACCTCTTTTGGCAAACGTATACATGAACAAATTAGAAGAGAACTTCATTATGCCACCACAGCAACCAGGGGTACTCATGCAGTGCCTGGATGACAACTTCGCACACATACACACACAC